CCCGCTTCTTTCCATATTAGTTCACAGTACTATCTTCATGTGTCTGACTTACTGCAACACCCTTCTAAGCAGTCTCTCTGCTTTCTTCGGTAATCTCTTGCAACTCATTCTTCATATATCAGCAAGAGTGATCTTTTAAACATAAACCAGATTCCATAACTTCCTTCTTTAAAACTTTCCAATGACTTGATGCTCTATTTTGAATAAAATCCAAGGACCTTATGTTGGTCTATAAGATTTTGCATAGCTGAGAGCCTGTTTTCCTTTCTGTCCTTATTCAGACTATTCTCCTCCTTGGCATAAGAGCCTTCTTTTAATTTCTTAAATACATCATAGGCTTTGTACATACTGTTCCTTCTTCATCAGCTTCTTTCATGGCTATCTCCTTTTCTTCTTGCAGGTTTCAGTTTAAATGTCACTTCCTTAGTAAGTCTGTCCTGAATCATTCTCTCTAAATAGATTCTCTCTTCCTATACTATCCTGTCACTCTTTATGTCAGCATTCTGTCTGCCTTTGTAAGTAATCATTCTCCTTCGGCAACCACTAATTTACTGACTATTTTTCTGTTTTCTTCATGATGCTGTAAGCTCAATGAGGGCAGATAGTATATCCATTTTATTTGACACTTCTACAAACAAAACCTAGCATAAATCCTGTACTTAATAATTACTTGTTGAATAAAGGAGTATCACAGATAAAGACGAACAATATAATGAAAATGGCTGACTCTTATTCAGACTTGCACCACAGAAAATTTCAGGACTATAACCTCAAAGCTTTATTCAAGATTTTAAGCATTTGTCAAAATGGATGGAGAGCATTATTTTTGACAAAGAGTTGGATATAGAGTCGATTCGCTACTCCAGTGCCTCTCAAATTGTCTATGGTAAGTTTCTAATCCATGAGACTTTTGTGAAGTCAAGGTACAATAAAATGGAATTACTAAAATCATGAAATAAAAATAAAAACAAAATATAAGCCCAATTATTTTATTATTAGTTTCAATGGACACAAAATTATTATCAAGTGTCTACAAAACTTTCAAAAGAATTTTTGTCTATGTCCATACTTGTTGAAGATCAGTAATAATTTGAACGAGCACTGGTTTGAGAACCACACTCCAAATAGTGCTGGTTTCTTCCATCGTCATTCCACTTGGAATTGGTTGAATGTAATATATCTAAAAGACTGAACTATTCTTTGCTGGGTAGAACTATCCAACTTACTGCAGGGCATTTAACATCCTAGCCCCAGGACACTAAGAGCCAGTGGCACCACTTTTACCAATTATCGTTCAAACCAATACCCTTCCCACCTCCTACCCCTCCACCCATACTCTTTTCTAGCTGCTGGTGGGGAGAGTCAATAAGTAGCACTGCAATTCAGGACCATTGGGGGGGAGGTGAGGGTTCTGCCAGCTGCTCAGCAGTGTTTAGAGTAGGAACTATGGTTATAGGTCTGGGGAGGCCTTGAGTCTTAGTACCTGTTCAGAAAAACTAATGAGTTGTGGGCATGAATATAAATTGAAAGACGGGAAAAAAATCCTTCCCAAATTAAGTCTGTTATTTTTGTTTCCCACACATTTACTGGATTTTAAAGGGGGTGATAAAATGGGGAGAAAGAGTCAAATGTTATCTCTGGGATGTTACAGAGAAACCAATTGGTTGTTAAGATTTATATTATTAGCTGGGTAGTGTAGCCTTTTATCAACGTGCTAGATACATTATTGCCATCACAGCTAGTTTCTCTTAACTCTTCTAACTCACTTTCTTGCACTAAAATATTTTGCCTTAATGCTTTGCCCCTCCTCCATTCCCACATTCTTACCCTCCTCAGTATGAGTCTTTCTGACCTTATTGGCACAGTGCAATGCTATGGCTTGGCATAAGTCCAAGGGGGAGAAATAAACAGCAGCAAAAACTAGGATGTAGGGAGTTTTCTTCCCACCTTGGTACTTCAAAAAAGGAGAATATTCATAAAAGATATGTTAATCATTTCCTCCTCCCTTTGACTGACCAGGTTACCAAGTTTAGTCCCCATGCATTGTGCCTTGCAGAATTCACATAAAAGAAATTCATTACTTGTGCCACTTCAAGAATGACCATGTTATCTGAACACAGAGATTTTTATAGTAGCTAGAATGTGCAGAAATACTTCCAAATCCTTCATCTAAGGAGGACTTAATGTCCTTTATACTCCAAAGGTTTCTAGTAATTTTCCTACAGAGGAAGGAAAAGAGATTTCAGATGTCTTGCTTGACAAGATAACACACTGCTGGTGTGTTCAAAGGCAAGTTCAATTCTGGTCCAGTTCAAGCCTAGCCCTACTTCAGAGTTGAAGATTTACACTTCATCCATATCTTTTTGAGCCACCTGAATTTGTAACACAAAAAGGAAGCATCTTTTTATTCTGTAAGCAATCTTGTGTTACTCATTTTCTTGTCTCCTCATTCAGTTGAAACATTCTTGAATCTCTAGATTGAACTGGCTTCTCAAGATTCTTCCAACTGGGAATAACTAACTAGCAGTTCAATTGAACATGATGAGACTCAGGACTTGAAATGCTACCATTGGAGTGGCTACAAGTCTAGGTCTTGGCTTTGGGAAAATGTTTATCTTATAATGTCCAATGCTTTGGCAGACTAGAATTCTTTCCATGTTCCCTTTTCCTTTCCTCTCCTTCCTCATTTTCCTTCCCAAACCCATGTTGTATGGTTTGCATTGTTAGGAAGGTGTTGAATTTGTGGATTTAAAAAAGTGATTCTAGAAAATAGGGAGGAAAGAGGGGCAGTAGAGTTAGCTGTAGCTACCTCTATCCTTTTTTTAAAACTTTGCATTTCCAGTTGGAATTAGTCACATACTCCCTCTTTAGGTTAAACTATTTTTGAATTTTTAAAAACTCAGGAAGTAGGGTGAACATAGATTTAGAAACAGAATAGGTAGCTACTGTTAACAGATGTTAATAACGTTAACCACGGGGTTGTTTTAACTCTTTGTTAGAAAAGAATGGTCCAGTGAAGACTTGACTAGTTGCTCCTTTTTAATACTATAGAAAAATAATTTTCATATTCTCTTATTCTTTTACTGGCAAATTTGGGTAGTAAGATAAGGAACACATTTTCAAGTTTCAGTCCTATTGAATAACCTATTACTCGTTATTCCAGTTATTCCACTTGCTCTGGTTTCACAATTCAAGAAATATGGAAGTGATGTAGAAAAAAGACAACAGTGGTGTCTGATGCAGGGTATAACCAACATCAAATTCCTGAATGAACTAATTTAGTGTTTAAATTAAAATACACTCTTCCATTCCAGAACTGTTAGTGGCAACTCTTAATGGAACCAGAAAATGGAAGGCTTATACACATTCCCCTTACCAACTCATAAAGACAGGAGAACTACATAACGAGATCATTCAGACACATTTAATACCAACTTGCAACTTTAACTGTTGCACAGTATCAGTCAAATTCTGAGCACCACGACTTGAGAACTGGAAATCTTGGAAAGAGTTTAAAGAGCCACAATGATTATTAATAACCTTTACAAGTTGTAGAAATGGGCAGATAATTACAGGATGAATTTAAGAGACAGAAATACAGAGTACTTTAGAGGAAGGGAAAAATAAAACGCTATAAACACAAGTGAGAAGGCTTTGTGGAAAAATGTGGGAATTAGTAAACCACAGGAACCAGTCATATAGTACAGTTGTTTAAGTATTTTTATTATTAAAAACTCCAAAATTCGTACAATACATGTAAGGATATTGTATTTAAGAAAAAGGCAGTCATCCCCTTAGTCGTTCACACAATTATTTATTAAGCATTTCTGTGCTAGACACTTCTGGTTGCTGGGATAGAATAGGGGAAAAACTAAGATTTGTACCTTCACGACGGTCGTTAAAGTGTGGTAAAAGACAGAGCTAGTACCTTTAATGGTCTCTAGTTTGTATTCTGTAGCCAACTTTGAATACAGCAAATACCGAGTGCTCCTTGAGGTAGGGATCCTATTTTTACATGTCGGATCCCATTCCGTGCCTAGCACAGCACCTTGTAAGCAATCAACAGGGATTAAGTGGTAAAAATAGGCCCTGGAAGAGCTAAAATCCAAAAAAGTAAACACTTGTCTGACCATCAAATATGTCGGTCGAAATTCCCAATTTTTTCTTCACAACGAGCAATAAACCAATATTTGCTAACCTATTACGTGCAGAACAGTTTTCAACACAACGCTTTGTGTATAAGAGGGACGGTGGGAACGGATTCAAATAGCACATCGTGATAGGCGGCGCGAACATCCTGACCAGGTGGATAGCCCTTCCTCCGTGAGGTTTTCCTTTTTCTTTTCTTTCTTTCTTTTTAGCGGAAAGAGAAAACTCTCCTGCAGAAGCCGCGGCGGTGGGACGCAGCGCTAATCTAGGGTCGCAGACATCAGCTCGCGCGGGCCGCTCGGCGGGCGCGGCGGAACGGCTCCCGCCCGGGGCTCCCACGGCTCGGCGCCCGGAGCCTCAGAGCGGACGAAGCGTCCCCCCAGAGGAAGGGCTGGGAGCCGCAGACGCCCCTCCGAGGAGTCGCCGGCCACTCGCCCCACCTCGGGGTCCTGTTCCTTTCGGGCTTTCTCTGACTATTCGGGCGGGCGCGATTTGGAAACCAGGCGTGCCGGGGCCCCGACTGCGTCCCCTCGCCCCGCCACAGCCTCGCCACAGCTCAGGGACTTTGAGGCGCCCGCGCCCCTTTGTCGCGGGATCTCTCGACCAAGCAGGCCGGACGCCCAGGCCTCGCGGTATCGAGTCTCCGTCCGCCCCGCCTCCTCGCCCTCCAGTCGGCCCCGCCCTCACTCTCACCCCTCCCCCGCTCCCGCCTCGCTTCCCCGGCAATCTCCTCGCGCTCCCGGCCCGGCACGCGCGCTGCGCCCGGCCGCCGCCGCCGCCGCCGCTACCGCCGCCGCCGAGCGTTCCTCCGCTGCGCCGGGCTTCCAGCTCGGGCCGGAACCGGAAGTCTGGGGGGCGGGGCCCGGCGGAGGCCAGGAGACCGAAAACGCGGCCGAGCCCGGAGCCCGGAGCCGGAGCCAGAGCCTGGACCAGAACTTGGCCGCCGCCTGCCTGCACCGCCGCCGCCCGCCGCCCGCCTCCCCTTCCCCGAGCTGCCGTCGCCGCCTCGGCCGCCACCTCCGCCAGCTCGGCCGCCAGTGGTCCGCGGACTTTGGGTGTCCGGGTTGAAGGTCGGTCCGGACGTCGGACCCAGCTCGGTTCTCGGACTGTCTGGGCGGCAGCGGCCGCCGCCGCCGCCGCCTCCTCGTCGCCTCAGCCTGGCGTTTTGTTCCGAGAGACCCCAGAGGCGAGCAGAGCTGACAGTGATTTTGACAGTGATTTAAACCCGCTTTTGTTGTTGTGGGCTTTTCGTTGTTTGGTTTTGTGTGTTGTGCGTGTGTGTGGCGGTTTTTCCCCCGTGGTGCATTTTATTTTTTATTGTTGTGCTCTTTTTTTCTTCCTTTTTTTTTTTTTTTAAAAAAAAAACACCTCGTGAACGTTTTTTTTTTTTTGGTCGGGTCTTCCGAATATGTTTTATGACGGTTGATTTTACACCAGGAGGTTTGTCTCCGAGGAAGACCTAGGGAACTGGATATCTAGCGAGAACTTCCTACGGATTCCCCGGCGCCTCGGGAAAATGGGAGCTGCTGCAAAGTTGGCGTTCGCCGTCTTTCTTATCTCTTGTTCTTCAGGTAGGTGCAGCGAGCGCGGCGCGGTGGGGCTGCCGCTGCGGCCGCGGCCGCCGCTGCCGGGGCCACGCTTGTTGTTGGGTCGGTGAGCTCCAGTGGAACCTGGGGAGGCTGCCCCACACCCCGAGCCCCTCGCCTGCCGCCCCCCGGGTCTGATTGTGATCTGGAAACCTCCATGAATGTTTCTCCTTTCGAGTTGGGTTGGCGAGCTGATAAGAGTGAGTGCTGTGTTGTGGAAGTGAGAAAGTCATGGTTTGTGGCCATAACACTGGATGACAGCGCTGGTTGGGTTGCAATTAAGCCACAAATACCACAAGTGACAATTTATGCAAAGGTTGAAAACTGAAAGGAGTGTTCCGAAATGTCATCATTTAGTGTGGGCTCCTCCAAAACAAGGGTTGCTTTCGTCGTCTTTTAATTAGTGCTTCACCGGTGAATATCACGACATAGATCAAGTCAGTTGCTACTTAATTTTGACTGTGAGAAGCAATGCATCCTATTATCAATTCAGTCTGGGTCTCCCTTCACGTTTTCTTCAACTTCAGTGTCCAACAGTGTTAAAAATAGTTGTTAAGAGTGTTAACTATAACCCAGGGCAGAAGAGGTATGCCGCTTGTGTGTTGGTAATGTGCTGGCTTTCAACCACCATTTGTGTTTCGGGCATAGATTTTGCTTACCTGCGGAATACTTATTTTAAACGCTTTGTATTGAAGCATTGTTTTCGGTTTAGAATTGCCCATGTGAAATTGTTCTTATTGTGAAATATGGTATACTCATAATATAGGTTTTAGCCCAAGGTTGGAGGAATATTCTGGCCATTTTATATTTGAAAATTTTGATTTTGTGAGAACGTTCTGTGGTTGCAACCAGTGGTTGGAAAAACTAGTCTTTTGTATTTGGAATTTTATAAATAAATACTGCATCTAGCTCAAAGGTGTGCGAATGTACATAACAGGAGAGTTACTTCCATAGATGAAAGAATTTAAAAGTCTCAGTGGATCTATTTATCATAAAATTTAATATTCAGTTACGAGGTTGTGACATAGAATTATAGGGGGGAAAACGAATTGACAGGTTTCATGGCCATGTCTTTATCTTGTTTGCTACAAGGAAATTAGAGGGTGGTAGTCGTCTTTGTGTACCTTTGTGTGATGTGCGTGTGTGTATGTGTGTGTGTGTTTGTGTCCGTTTTCCCCACCCCCCTTTTTAATAGAATCTTTTGTAATGTATAGAATTTTGCTGAATGGTACATTTCCTTGTGGTTAATAAATGGATAAAGTCTAGTCTTATGTCTGTAGTGGTATTGATCAGTTCCGGGTGGGCTGAATGTGTTGTGAAATGGCGATCATTGCCAGAGATTAACCAAAAGAATCATGTCTGTTTAAATGGAAGAAGGAACATGCTTAAGGCAGGCTGACAGTTCTTTTTGTGCAGGGTTTGGGGAGGAAGCTAAACAATGGTGTGTCTGAAATGAATGAAGGCCTTGATAACATTAAACCTCTTGCTTTTGTGACATGACTTAACCATGTAGTTTTTATCTTTCCAGTAGTACTCTCTTTCTCTGCCCCTATATGCTCTGGCTGGTGAACTCCTCTTGTTTAAATCCCTTGTTCTGATCTCCTGCCCTTGAGGAGGGGCATCATGGCCACTGACCAAGGAATTGTGGACATTATTCCCTCCCAAACCCACCTGAATCACATTAATTGGTAAAGGAGGTTATTCTTGAGCGGTCTCAAGGTATTACTTCTGGAAAAGCAGGCTGTTGCTACAGATCTTACAGCTTCCTCTGCTTGGTTTGGTAGTAAAAAGAACTAAGCATTAGTTTCTGTGGGATTATTTTCATTGGGCCCAGATTATTTTCACTGGTCCAGGAAGTTAATAGCTAATATTTTGAAATAAAGTAATTTTGTTGCTATAGAGCATATAGGTATTCCACATCTATTAACTAATATTAAGTATTGTTGTATAGGCTTTTTTAAAGAACCATTTTTTAGTTGAGCTAAAATATGTGATTCTATTGAAGATAATTGAAGTAAGTAATCTTAAAGGCCTTAATCCATATTTATACATGAAGATTTTTAGTACTTAAAATGTCTGATTTTTTAAAGGGCTTTTGTTATGAATCAAATGCACTCTAAAAAGGGTTATTGTGTTTCTCCAACTAATTGATTTTTCTATGTAATATGTAATCTGGCAGGCTGAAAGCATTAGAGTGGCTATTTTTATGAGAATTTAAAAATTTCTCAAGTTGTCAGTTGTGTTTCTAGATATTTGATTTTTAAAAAATTTAAACCAAATGGGAAACAGCAATAAAGAACAGTTTTATTCCAGGTATTTAGGATGGATGTTTACTGTTTCCTTTACTATTTTGTGGAATTTGATTTTTCAATTTCCATCCCATGGTATGTATTCTGGAGACTGATTACTCAGACTATTCCTGTAGGATATGACCAAGTGTATAATTTCCTCCTGTCTTTCATTCCAGGGAAACATTTTGAGTTTTGCCCTTACCCTGGAATGCCTTCAGTTCCCTCTGATTTTGAATCTTTTCGTTCCTCTTATCTCTCCTCAGAGTCTGTTTCAAAACACAGATCTTCACAGGTTTTTCTTTTTAAAGCATGGTGGTTAATTTGTATCTTTTCCCAGAGTTTGTCAAAGTCTGAGGATGAGTGTAATACTTGCCCTAGTACTCAGGTTTATCCTACCTAGAGTGGTGTAGCTGTTGTGGTAGTTGAGTTGTATTGAAGTAGATTGAGAATTCCTTTGGATTCTGTGATACCTATATAGCAGTATGGTCAATATATCTGATAAAATAAGAAATGGCTAAAACTATTTTCATAATAATACTAAGATGTTATTTGCCTTTTTCACTCTTATTATCTCTCAAGGGTACAGTGAGTGTTCCAAGCCTATGTGACGTATGATATCGTAACAAATTCAGTGTATTAGCACATATGAGAAATGGCTGGACATTAAAGAGATTTGTAAAATTGTGAAAAAAAAAATGAAGTAATTGTGTTGCATTTCCTTTAGTTCAGCTAGGCAATTTGTGTGTGTGTGTGTGTGTGTGTATGTGTATGAGAGAGAGAATGAGAATTTGTGGTTGGAGGGAGAGTTACCAGTACAGAGAATCTTCTGGGACTCTTCTGACCTTTGACTAACAAGTGATAGATATTAAATACTTTGTTTTCTGAAAGGCAGAATCTCTTAAATATTATCTGTGATCAAATTCAAATATAATATATTGAAACATGCAGAGAAGAAGAGAAATAAAACTACCCTTTCCCACCATTCATTTTTAATTTTTTTTCTGTTTGTGACCTAAGTCAATAGTTCTTAAGCTGGGATGATTTTTGCCTTCCCCAAACCTCCACCAAAGGGATATTTGGAGACATTTTTGGAGATAGTGGAGAGGGGCAGGTGTGCTAGTGGCATCTAGTGGGTAGAGGGCAGGGATGCTGCTAATCATCCTTCAATGCACAGGACAGCTTTCCACAACAAAGAATTATCTGGCTCAAAATGTCAGTAGTGTTGAGGTTGTGAAACTGTTTTATACTTTTAATTTTTAAGAGCGTTGGTATATAAGTAAAAGGACTCTGCTTCCCCTCCCCCAAAGTCAGTAATCTAAATTTTATGAGTACATTGTATTGATGATCTCCAGGTGACCTTGTATTGACATTTTTCATTTTTTCATTATCCTTTAAAAGTAGAACATGATTAAGTTAGAGAAACTGACTATAGGTGTGCACATTCTTTCATCCTATTATACTTTAATAAAAATATTTTGTTGACTGTTAGGAATAAACTCTCTAATAACTTGTTTTGATAGAGTGCTCAGGAAGACTGCATGTTCATTACTATGATGAATGATTGGTCAAGGTATCAAGTTTATTTGCTTTAGATCCAATTTCTTTTTTGCCATAATTTTCTTCTTTAAGGATATTTCTTCTTATCCTTATTGAAATCATTGTGCTGCATGGTGGTGGTGTGTGTGTGTTTCAGATACCTGAACGTTTTGTAAATATCATATGAAAGAAATATGTTCACTATTATATGTTCCCTGAATGGATTCAAGGTAGAAATTTGTTTTTTCTTTAAAGTATATTTCTTTTGTCTAGCTAACTTTAGTATCAATTAAAAGTGATTTCTTAATTGAATAATTTTCTTGAGAATCATTAGCTGGGTTTTGGTTACCATTTGACTCATTTAGGATACAGTAAGTAATATTTTAAGATCTTACAGACCCTTGCCTTTTTTAAGGTTAAATCTTGACTGTAATTAATAAGTGCTTGCCTGGTTTTGAACTCTGGTTTTAAGGAAGTTAATCCAGCCAGTCAAGATAAGAATTACAGTGAAACTCTTAGCAAATTAAGTAGCACTACACTATTAAGAGGAAAATTCTGAAGTTACTCCCACAAAAAGTAGGTGAATAAATTTCATACCATCTCTGTAACATACCTCCCATACTTTCCTCTCTGGTGATGCTGACATTTTCATCTTTTGGGTTCATTAGGCTCACTTTTTGTGAGAAGTAAAGCATAAATAAACCAAGTGAGATTTTAATAATCTCTAAATTGTTCATTTAGATTCTAAGACTTTATTTCGTTGCATTTTTACTTTTGTAAATACTATTCTTATTTTCTCATCTTTGATGTTCCATAAATCTGTGATTTAAATTTGTCTTTTCATGTTCTCTTATGTTGCCACTTGCATAGTGTCTCTCAGATCATAGGTAAGATTAGTTAGCAGTGTTGGATACTAGGGTCACTGGTACGCCTTCACTTTTTGCTCTCTGTTCTATAACTCATCATTTCTTTCATTCCCTTTCATTATAGTTCCCTTTCCACTTTCCTCCTTTCTCTATACCCTTTTCTTCCTCTTCCCCTTTTGTATTTCTATACTGTAGGCTACTTGCTTGGGAAAATTCAATTGCTAAACATCAAGGGTGGCTCAACAGGGATCACCTATGGTTTAAGTGAAAATGGATTGAATTTAGAATACTT